ATCGACGGATGGTGGGGAGTATCATGTTAGCCGAATGCAACGTAATGCCTTTTAATCTTACGCGTTTAACCGATCGTTAAAACTTTCATTTCCGTACGTTTCTCGCGCTTAGGCGATCGCTGTTCAACGTTCTCAACAATGTGCTCAACATCGCGAAAATTGACCTACTTCAACTTTAAAGCGGGCTCGGGTCACCAAGTATAACGGAGTTGCGCACCTTCGAGCGCATAATTAATCGTTTCCCGCCTAGCGAATAAAAGGCAGCCGGGTCACGAGAGGGCTCACTTTAGCCTCTTTTTTTTCTCCCTCTTCTCTCTCTCTCTCTCAACTTCATGCTCGCGCGAAGCAATCCGATACAGCAGCGCAGATTTTCCTGAATGATACTTCGCGTTGCCCGTGGCAATCGATTGTAGCAGTGATAAATAATTGTCTCCGGTAATCACGCGATCGACTCGAGGCTCGCGCGTGCCAACACCGCACGGCCGAGCACACTCGAGCACGCTCGAGATTTTTGGAAGGGATTCCGCGAATCTCGAGCACGCTCGAGATTCTCGGAAGGGATTCCGCGCGTTGGAACGCGCACAGACGAAGGATAAAGTATAAAGATATCTACGCTGTATAGTATACAAATCTAATTCCAAATAAAGTTTCCCCTCTCTCTCTTTCTCTCTCTTATAAGTAATAGTCGCTCTGTCCGTAACTGTTACGCGAAATCGTGAGAAAATACAAAATTGTCTACACCAGGACACGTGTTATACGACAGTTTATTATCAAACGATAACATATTACAAGACAATGAAGCACATTGTTAAGATGCTTAATTATTTTACGTGGGAAACAGTGGTCATTAAATAAGCATCGACAATATCTGGAATTTATTCGAGATATTCGGACGTAAGGAAGGTCAGACAGCAGCGTGGGTGGAAAATGGCCCGTTCAAACCGCTGGCAGGTAATTTTAATTTATAATTTTAGTTAGCTATATATGAATAAAATTGTTTGTAATTACATTAAATAGAATATTGTTTGCATAAATAATCTTGTTTATAACTACTAACATATGTAACTTAAATGTTGGACAAAGTTGATTTGGAAAGAATTAAATTTGAAAAGAATCAAATTTTATTTGACAGAATATTGAACAAAATTTATTTTACAAGGAATTAAATTTGTCAATTTTAAAGTCATACTTTTATCATCTATCATGATAAAAACATGATCTTTGGAAGTCATTTTACTGTCATTTTCATGTCTTTTTTACGTTATTCGCTTATGTAGATTAATTAATTTTTCATTAACAATTACGAAGTTTGCAAAATGGATATTTACTATTCAGTTTCTGATCTTTTCTACCTACACACTGTGCCAGACTGTATTTAAATATCCCACTCTTCGTCACGTGACCGCAACGCATCCGCTGGAAGCGCACGGCAATCCAAGATGGCGAAAAGAGTGCATTGAAGCTACTTACGGCGTGTTTTCTTGCATCGTGATACCTTGAATTGTCGACAATCTCGCAATAGCGATATATTATCGTTGTATAATTAAAGCGGTATAAGTGTATAATTCTATAATCTCGCTATTGTGTCAACATGGGTTCCAATAAACGTCACAAAACCGAGAAGTCTCGTGATACGAAGAAGAAGCGTCATCGCAGTCGCTCCAGGAGCTATACACCCGACCGGAATGAGAAATCGGAGAAGCACAGACATCACAAGAAGCACAGGAGGAAAGAGCGCAAGGATTATGATAGCGATGGTAAGAAACACGACGATACTTACAATAAACATTTATATTACTAGCGACGAAGAGTTTTTCCACACTTCCAGTTGAGATTGTCAACGCTCCACCACCACCGAAAATATCAAAATCATCACACCCATCGACGCCTCCACCACCTGAAATTTCCAAACAGCGCAGCCCATCCCCTATAAAAGGCGGAGCAGCACAGACTTCTTTATCCATCGAGGAAACCAATAAGCTTCGTGCGAAATTAGGCTTGAAACCGTTGGAAATTGATAATACATCCAAAGATGACCCCAATAAAATCAAGGATGATTTGGGAGAATTCTATCATAAACCTGCACCAAATAATAATGAAAAGATAAGAGCAGAGAAACTAAGAGAAAAGTTAGGTACCCAAAAACAAAAACGACAGATTGAGGCAAACTTGTCGAAGGTAAAATCCTTGGGTGATTATGATTCGGACGATGATACTCAAGCATGGATCACCAAGTCCAGACAATTGGAAGAAGAGAAAAAGAAAGCAGAGGAGAGAGTAATGTCTTGGGCTGTGTTTTAATATTTACTGCCAGTACTGAGAATCTATAGTATATTTAACGTGAACTACAGATTTTCACCGCTGTCAGTGAATTTTGGAACATGGCCTTAATATTTTTCATACTATTTATATATTTGTGAGAATATTATTTCGCACAAATTATAGTTATGATAGAAATAATTACAGCGATATAGTTTTGTCATTATAATATCTAACCCATAGGTTACACAATATTTGAAGTTCTGACAATCTACTATAAATATTTATGAAATTACTTATATTTAAGGCAAAGATGTTGGATCAATTGGATGAAGAATTTGGAATCGGTAATTTGGTTAAGGAAGAAATACACACTGCTCGTAATACAGCATATACAGGGAAAGATTTAAAGGGTCTTAAAGTTGAACACAGTATTGTAAGTATAAAAGATATTCTCTTCATTTTCTATATATATATATATACAACAGTTCTCGTCAACCATGCAAATTGATCTTATTTTTACATTTATTTGCGATAAATGTTAAAGGAAAAGTACTTTACAGGGAACGTTTGAGGAAGGTAAAACAGTGATCCTAACATTGAAGGATCAACCGGTACTAGATGAAAATGATGACCTACTCGTAAATGTGAATATGATCGATAACGAACGCTACAAACGTAGTATTTTAAACAAAACTAAGAAACCTACATACGATCCATACGATGATGAGAATTTCGACGAATATGGATTCCCGAAATCTAAGATTCTGGAAAAATATGATGAAGAGATCGATGGCGAGAAAAGGGACAATTTTGTGTTGGGTTCTAATAACTCGATGGAAGGGAAACGACGACAAGTGGAAACGGTGAAGCAACGTTTAGCGAATAAGAAGTTGGAAACCTTGCAAATGGCCGAACCGAAATTAGCGAGTGAATATTACAATGAGGAAGAGCTGGCCAAGTTTAAGAAACCAAAGAAAAAGGTAAAATATTTCTTTTTGAACGCGTGCGTATATATACAAGAAATCAATAATCTTGGAATAATATAGTTGCACACGGTATGTAGCTATATATTTCATATATTTAGTGTTTATAACATATTATAAAAAAAATAGTTTGCGGCGTATATATCATAATATAAAGTATATGACTTTCTAGATTCGGAAAATTAGAACAAAAAAGAAGTTGAAGGCCGATGACTTGGTTCCTGTCGAGAATGACTATCTCAGGGATCTTGGAAGTAGAAGAAGGAAGAAACCAGAAGACTCTAAAGATAATGATGCTTTAGATGTCGATGATTTGGAAGGTATTTTATTGTAAAGTTAAATATATTTTCGTAACTTGTAAGGTTATCAGAGATAAGTATGTTAGCCACTCGTAAATCGTGTGTTATTAAGCTGCATCACATGCAGTTTCCATGTGTTCCCAACTTTTCTACGTGTAATTAAAAAAAGTTATACGATCAAACAATCACAAAGAAACAATGTTGACAGCTCCCACAGAGGATCTTACTGGAATAAAACTTGAGGAGGATGATAAGGAACTTGAGTTACAGTTGGCTTTGAAGAAAGCTCAGCGTTTGAAGGAAGGACATCCAGGTGGCATCCAGAAAACTGTCGAAACGATAAAACAGGAAATTCTCAATTCAGAGGAGAATCAGCCTGGTAATATTGTTCTTAATGCCACTGCGGAGTTTTGCAGAACCTTGGGAGATATACCCACGTATGGGCTCGCTGGAAACAGAGAAGAGAATGGACAAGAACTTATGGTACACAATGGACGTGATATATATTTATACCGATTATATATTGTGTTTTTATAACGTGACCGTTACAGGATTTCGAATTGGATGGGATTAAAGATGAGCCACCAGCGAACGAAGACGAAGACGACGGTCGTGGTGCCTGGAATACAGTACACTTAGGTATTCTGCATATTGGAACAAATTAATTTCGTTCTGTGACTTTTTACTGTTTTATAATATGGTATGGTGCTTCGAGTGTTCCTTGGAAACATACAATTCTAACGTGTCAATTCAATGGGAACAGACGAGAATACGTCGGAACCAGTCGTGATGGAGGCAGCGATTCTGGACGCCGAGCCCTCACTCGGACACGGGGTGGGTGGGGCTTTGAAATTGGCAATGAGCAAAGGTTACTTGCAAAAAGAGGACAGCAATCGGCCGTCGGCCTCACGATTTGCACATCTGCAAGCTCAGAATTATTCGATAGAGGACAAAACATACGGGTAAGTAAGTCATATATTATCGCGATTCGATATAAGAAAATTTCTTATATGGTTCCAATATATATGTATCTATATGTACGTATGTACGCGTGTGTCGGAACATGTAAGAAGCGTTCTCATGTCGAATGCGCCTCCCACAAGCACTGTGTTAGACAAGTCTCTAGTGAATTTCAAACTGTCAGTTAACAGTTTTAAATAGAGCCCGGAAAACGGTGCTCGGAACCGGTGATCCGCTACCGCTACAAGAGTTTACCGCTTAAACTCGAGGAGGCGAACAGAAGGCCGAGAAGAGAGTAGGATTTGTTAAGGTATGTTTATGTTATGCGATTTCGTTGCTGTGGATCGTATTAAGAGAAATCTAGAAAAGTCTTCGTCCGTGGGGTAAATCATATGATGGTTATATCGCAGGATTTGCCGATCGTCGAGATAAACGTTCAGGAAAAGACGTTTATCCTTGTTTCCGCACTTACGCTACAACGCGTGACTACTATCGGTTTTCTTCGCAAAGCTTGCATGTACGTTCGATACGCGTCGACGGACCATCTTGCGATTATAATACGGGATGTCTAAGACCAACAGTGACAAACTTCACAAGGACGTAAAACGGATTGAGGTGAACAAAAAAATTATTATTTTGTAAACAACACTCATAATTTCGAGTTATTAATTATTGAAAACTGTCATATATAGAGGCTTCTTTAATTAACAATTCAAAAATCTGCGTGTTATTTGCGAAATGGATTCTTTTGTTCAGAATAGTCGAATTTACAAATATATAACAACTATATATTTAACAACTGTCCTACCTAAAGACAGATTCAAGCTTTGAGGTTCAAGACTCAATATACTGATGTTTGTCACGCAACAGCTGTAATATTTTGCATTACGCCCACTCTGAACAAAAAAGTCCTTTACCATTGTGCAAATAACACACAAATTTTTAAGTTATTAATTAAACAAGCCTCTACATGCATGGCCATTTTCAATCATAAATTTTGCATGTTGTTTGCAAAATAGTAGAAGACTTTTTTTTTGTTCACCTCAATTCGTTCTATGTCCTCACTAAATTTGTCCCTGTTAGTCTGGGATATCTTGTATAACACATTGTTCGATGTTCAATTCAACGATAAGTGTTTTACGTTATCAATATTTAAATACTGAATCTGAGATGAACGAAGAGGAGAAAGAGGATATCTATATCTTTATATGCATGAATATTGACACACGTTTTCATATTGACATCAGAGGATACTGTACATACGTTATTTAGATTCAAAGATGTATCAATGGTCAACGTGGAATTAAAATGGCTTTAACGCGTTTAGGAATAATACATTGGAGTCTTTAGATACATTGCGAATGTTGAAGTCTTTCACCGACTTGTTTCGATTTATTTTAATCCAATCGCATAATGTAATGTATCTCGAGGAGACCTACGAACGTCAATCCCTCATTAAAACTTGTTAGTGTTGGTAGTGGACACAAGTTTCAGAACACCGTATTTCAAGGGCTTAGATTTTTTCATCTTATTCCTCTACATATTTTCAAATCTAGCTTTAATTAAGACAGTAATGAAATATAATCACCTTTAACTGGAATACAATCATATATCTTTAACTGAAAGATAAGAAAACCCGAATCTTATTGATAAAGAGTCGATAATCCGGCATGTGTTCATTGCATTTGCTGGTTAATGCATCATTTTCGTTCCAGAGACGACGACAAATTCGGCAGAAGAGATCGTTTCAACGGGCCGACGTCTGATTTCAAAGAGAAAGAAGGTTTCAAGCCAAACGTTAAGCTCGAGTACATCGACGATGACGGCCATGTTCTAAGCGCCAAGGAAGCTTTCAGATACCTATCACATAAATTTCATGGGAAAGGTCCAGGAAAAAATAAGGTTCTTATATTGGACTCTAGTGACCGGAGTATTGCATGTGGAAACGCACTATGTCATAATGATTTCTCATTTGAATCGTGATCGAAACTTGTAGTAATTCTGCAATGTGTCCAGGTGGAAAAGAGGATGAAGAAAGCCGAGCAAGAAGTTCTCATGAAGAGGATGTCTTCAACGGATACCCCCTTAGGTACACTGAATTTACTACAAGCGAAACAAAAGGAGACTCAATCGCCGTACATAGTACTCAGCGGCAGTAAACAGATGCAAACGTAAGAATATCTAATAAATTAATGTAGAAATATAAATTAACAAATAATTCAAGTACACGTGTTCATATGTTTTGTAATAGGTTTCTTTTTCTTAATACATATCGTGCATATATATATATTAAGAAACATATATATATACAAACGCGCGTGTAAAGTTTTAATACAATAACAAATATTATTTACAGGACAAGTATATCCAAGACAAAACATTAAGGAGTAAAAAAAGCAAGGAAGGATAGGAATTGTATATAACCTTACATGTATAGTGTAGCATCCGGGCATACAATACAAAATTCGTAATCTCGTGCAACAAAGATGTCAACCAAAAGGCTCGAGGGCGAAGAACCGCGGTTTTTTTTCTTTCAATGACGAAATTATGAGCATGGTATAACAAGCAGAATAACGACATACGAATAACTCCTAGTTCCAATTCAACCGGTTTTGCATCTGTGTAACTTGTCTGGGTTTGTAATACATCATTCGAAAGCATAAAAGTGGAAATAATAATTTTATAGACTATTACCTTATGCAATAAAGCAAACTTCACACATAGCATAAGCACATTTCTTAAGTGTATCACCTACCGGAGACGCCGTGGGAATAAAATGACCATTTTCCGTGTGTATGTTGCCTTTTTTTTAATATTAATATAATACTTGCATATTTCATAAAATAATCTTATTTTCACTGGATATGTTCACTACCTTTACACGTATCAACAAGGTCTCGACANATCTATATTAAATATATCTCTTAGTACTAATACAAAATATAGTTTGTTCTAATATAATATATTCGTGACAACGACAAACAATGAGACGTAGAGAATCCTTATTTTTATCGTGAGATACGATTATACTTGCATTACTTTGTTAGAAACGATACCTGGCTACGATTACAAGTATAATCACAAATTTATATATATATATATATATATATATATATATATTTTTTTTTTTTTTATAGATATATTCGAGAATGCGCTATAAAATATAATTTTACCATTTTCACGACTATCTTTCTACTCAGTAAGTATTCGTCAAGATATCATCAGTTCTAAATACGTTTATGGGAACTGTGTAATTTTCTATTCGCTAAGTTTCTCAAACACACTTGATATGGATGTTAGATGTGCTAATGCTACTCTCGCATATCAGCGAATGGTAAAACTCTTCTTCACTATACAGTGAGTACTGTTAAGTATACCCCTGATATCACAAGGCTCGTTTTGTGCAAAAATAGTAATACTTAATTCTTTGAATCTTACAGTGCATAGCAGCCTATACGTATATATATTAATGGCTTTTATAAATATGCATCTCTTCTTTAAACGACATGACCGCCTTTATATACGCAGTATACATTTATATACATACGTATGTCTCTTTGTATGTAATTAAACTCGCTTTTCATCCTACTATAAAATGTGTGTATTCTCACATTGAGAAAGTTTGGCACTTCCTTTGGCAATCTGAAACTGCTTGCATACGTTTCTAACGTCTTATTTTGATATCTGTCTCATTTTTTCTGGATATAAATATGTTCTCGATGTGTGTACCTTTACATGTTTTCGCTTGAACTTTCGTCTGAAGAAAAACAAAAATGAGCGGATTTCCTATCGATCATTCCTCCCATCACTCGCGCGTGTGACTTACAATGCATACTGTTACCTCAATGCAATAGACGCGCATGTGTGTGTGTCTTACTTTTGCAAGTTGTAACAGTTGTAAAACGCTTCGCTGCGAATTAAGAAGAATCACTTCTCTCTACGATCCTGTACGACTAAAATGAAGTACGCTCCGAAACCTGCTCGCTCGGCAAAAATGTAGATGCAAGTGATCGAGTATATATATACCGCATATACGCAATATCTCACGACCTACTCATCACCAATATCGCTTCAGGTGTATATTTTTTATGAAGATCCCTTTCTTCGACAGTACGCTCCTCGAAGGCGTTTTTAAGAGTAACTGTTATCTGGTCCAAGTGTCGGAGTGCTGGTCGGCTTTTTGCTTGTTGCCGCCATCCTCCTGAATGTTCAGGCTAGACGCTAATCGGACGGGTTTGATGGACTTCAGCTTGGTGGTTCCGCCGTATCGGAAATTCACGTCGCTGCAGGTGTCCAGCGGATGTACGGTTCCTGTCGTCAGCGAGTCGTTGCCGGTGACTTCCAGCTTGCTGGTGGGCACCTTCTTCACGGATCCTAATTCGTACGCAGACTTCGATACTTTCAGCTTGGACTTCAGTGGTAGCGATATCGACTTCTCTAAATTGGTCGTGGAAACCTTCAGGTTGCTCTCGTTCTGAGGAACCGGATTATTGGCCAGATTCATGGTGTCCGTAATTTGAATGTCGATGTTGACAGATTTCGGATCGTTCTCGTCGTTGTTGCCTCTCATCGCTTGCTCCGAGTATTCGTTCCTGAGGGCGGCTAGTTGCGCGCGTTGCTTCTGTATGTGATTGTGCGAGTTCGAGAAGAACGACGAGCTCTTCTCGGACTTCGTCGCCAGATTGGGCTGACTCAGAGTCGACTTCAAGGGATACGGTGGGTCGGCCATGCTGTTGCTCCTCAAGAGATTCTGTGACTCCCTCCCGGTCGAGTTACTCTTTATCATTTTGTACTTGTTGTTGTCCTCGATCAATTTCAGGGGATGCGATTTGATCCCCACGCTACGTCGTTTCTCCACCATGCTCAATTGCGTGATTATCCTGCGAACATCGCCCGGCACGTCGATGTCCGCACGCGTGTCTATTAATTGCTGAATGAACGCACCTAACGTCGTTATCGTCACTTCGAAACTGCGATTCTGCGACTCGAGCTTGTGGGCCACGGATTGCTGTATCGTACGTGCCGTTTCCATTACCTGCAAATTACTCAGACTGATCTGTAACATAATTCAAACACAACAATGAGACAAATTTAGAATTTTATATATATATATATATATATATATATAAGATCAATATTTTTTAATTGCAAAATTCTTAACAAAATTTTAAATTCAAAACAAACAAAAACTTTTAATTAAAAAATTTTAATCAAACGCAAAAGACATATTCAAAATTTTGGAAGTTCTCCCACAAGATAAAATTATATCTAAAAAAATAATAAGTTTTTAGAACATTATTTTATTTACATTATTTCTGTGTTAAATTTTTCAATTACTATTCTTATTTTATATATTACTCCTATCGTATTACCTCGAATTGTTCTCTAAGCTGTGCAACTTCCTGCGTGAGTTGTTGGTTTATTATTGTGAACTTCTCCAGTTTCTCCATTTTCGGTTTCATCCAGAACATCTCCTCCTGAAGTACTCGGTACTCCACCTTGTACTCGTTCAATTGCTTCGTAATCTCTGAATCGGGATAAAACACGCGCTTCATCACGCGATCTAAGATTTGTTTATCCACCGCTGGTATATTCGTCTAAAATCAGAAATGGAACATAATGGATGATGTCCTTTTCCAATATCTTAAAATTGATAGTAAAAGGTATAATATAATTTTACCTTGAAATATTCCATTATTCCTTCGAAGCTATTGCGAGTTAACAATTGATCTTGATGTTCCTCTAATAACGCAACCGACACGCGAAAGAGAACCTCGGAGCTCTCCAGGAAAAGCAGATCTGTGAGAAGCGGATGTTGCGGAAAAGGCGCAATTTTGGAATCGTACAAAAATTAAGCGTTAATATAAACCTTACCGAAAACTCGAGTCACGAAACCCAGAGGAAACTGGCTGGCGAATAGGGTTAAAAACCACGGAGTGGCGTACAAAGTGGGCGAAACATCGTGTTTCTCGAAATAATTGTAGACGGTCGGTAATCGGTCGTGTAGCAGTCTAGAAAGTTGATACAGATGCAGTTGTAACGCTGACATGTCTGGCAGATACAGTTTTCGGAGTCCCCGGCGGAACATCAGATGCCGCAACAAGAAGAACGCCTGGTCCTCGGGCATCTGGTAAGGGGAAATCAACAAGTGATACTCCGCACGGTTAAAAAAAGGTCAATGACCGTGGAAGAAATAACGCGCAAATGTCGCACTCACATGCAGGAGGAGCACCCCAGCGACAAAGTTCAGGCCTTGGCAATAGCCGACCTCGCAATCCAACAAGGAGTAGGCCTTCAACAGGTTGAACAACTCCAACTGTCCCGGTGGACGGTTAGTGTCTTCCATGGGTGAACTGAAGTACGGATGGCCCGGGAATGTCCTTTCCAGATCGATCGAAATGGCATGATCATAGGGTGTAAGTTGCTTCACGAGCGACTTGTAGGGCGTGTTGTAATATGGAAAATCTTGCGTATCCATAGGCGGCTGCTTCAAGCAGAATTGCTCGGCTAGGAAATACCAAACCTCACCTCTCTTCCCTTTCGGTACACCTGCGATTAAAGATCGTTATATCGGGAAAGTTTCGATTGAATTTCCAAAATGGAGGATATTGAACTGATATATCGGGTCAGGATATATTGAATCGGAAAAGCTCGTTCCGTTTCTTAATCAAAATATAATATTTGCTTTAAAATAGGCTTGTGACACGGTACGAAGAAACGGACGATTTTAACATTTTATAGACTTAAAACATTACATTTCTCCAAAGCACGTTGTTTACCGTTCCACTGATCCATGATAACTAAATGAATATTGTTGGCAACAAGTTGACGCGTTAACCTAACCTATTTCTGCCCTAAGGTGCACAAACTTCAGTTAACCTAACAAAGTGGTTAAAATTTCACGGAATTGACCAATGGTATTGGGCAATTAGCTAGATTGATCGATTGGCCAATTCCGTTGAGTTAATTCCGTTGGTTATCTTTAACCAGAGTCGGTGAAAATCATTCTAATGCTCGTTTCTACCATCATGGTTCATATCTAATCAACGAGTAACTCAGCGGATTTAACCAATCAAATTGGCCAATTAGCTGAATTAACCAATTGGTCAATTCCGTTAATTGCCAATTAGATTTAAACCATGACGATCGAAACGGGCATAAGCTTCGCTTTTTTCTGGTTAACTTGCGGCGATAACGTAAAAATATTTTTCTATTCATGATTATTAATCATTACAAGTTGCAAAACCACCCGAGTTTAATGATCAACCATTAATAAGAAAACACAATTTTTATATTGTCATTAGTTTAAGCCGCAACTGGAAAATGAAAAACTGATAATGACAGAGTAAATAGACTTTTAAAATCACCCATTTCCTTGCCCCATTCTGTACACAATCAATCGATTAATTAAAAATATGCAACATTTGTTCGATGACCTGCCATCTCTCCGGTGACTGCATGATCTCGCGTAGAAATTCTGCGTTTTCTAAGCGAAGAATTGATTAAAAAAACGAACTTTTCGCATCGATCCAACATCTAAATACCTTGCTTGATAGCGTGCAGAAGCATTTGATTATCACACTTCGTAGAAATACGCGACTCTTTGTTCACACAGAGGTCCCATATTTCTACCGGATGGACGCAGCTGCTGAGCTCGTCGTACTCCAATTTGTTTCTCTTTACCGTTGCTTCCTCTTGACGTTCTGAAATTCCAGCAAGAAAGTCGCTCGTATCGGAGAATCATTACAAAACTTATCTCCACGAATGAAAAAAGTTTCTCACCGCTAAGCTTTGCGTTCTCTTTCTCCATTCTGATCAGCATCAGCTGCTGATTGATCGCTTTCTTCCACAGGTCCCGCAATTCTTGCTTCTTGCGTTTAACAGGCATCCCCGAGCTTTCAGCGATCCCAACTTTCTCCATCTCTTTGATGCTGTAAGCCTTGTTCGGCGTGACAACTTTGTTGAGTATCGTTTGCCGCCATGAATTGTTGCTCGATATCGTGCCTCCGTCAGTCTCCGTGGGGGACGTTTTCGGCGAGTTGCCGACTTTGAAGAAGCTACAAGGAGTTCGATAAATACATAAATTATCGCGCTAAGACGGCGAAACGATTAGCCGAAAGAAAGTTGTTCGGGATACACCGGATTGTAAACTAACATGTCCATCATGGAATTCTTCGATCCGTTCTTTACAACCATTTGTTCGGGAGAGATGCGCAGCGATTTTCGTCTGCCTATTTCCGGCGAGGCGCCCAGTACAGGCGACTGTCGTGAGTTGTCCGGACTGTGGTTGTCGTTCTTTTGCATCCCGAGATGGCTCGCGTCCCTCAGATGAGCACCCAAGCTGAAATCGTCGCGGGAACCTTTCCTCTTCATGAAGTTGTCGAAGCTATTCGCGAGAGAACGCGCCTTCTTGAACATCGTGCTGCCCACACCGACGCTCAGATAGTGATTGAGGAATTCACTCCTGCGAAGTGAAGCGTGAAAGAAAGCGTTGCATATCCACTGATTATGTGTCGATTTGAAAATGTGCAACACCAATAGAAAACCTATATTTATATGTATATATATGTTCGGTATGGCGCGCGTCACCTGTTCTCAGCCGTGTCGTGCACGTGTCTGGCTTGTTTTGCCTCGCAATGAGCACGCAACAGTCGCATTAGGAATTGATTTTGTTCTTGGAGATTCGAGGAGCTCGCACCGACGTTCCCCGCCGCCTCGGCGCCCTTAAACTTGTTCACAACGATCTCCTGCTCGTCCTCCGGTAACAATTCCATACGCGAAAATATGATATTTTGCACCTTCCTGTCGGTTTGCCCTGGGAACATCATCGTGTTAGAACTGCATGCGAAACTGCACCATTTCTGGATTTGTAATCGGCACCACTCTACCTTTGATCTCTTGATTCAGTTTGTTGTACCAGTACATAGGACAGTGTTCGCAAGAAACGACAGGATACCTTCCTTTCCTCGTGACATCGCAAACCCCAGCGGGGGCTCGAATGATTGCTGGATGAAGAAAACGAGTGAAGATTATCGTTAACGTGCGATATCGAAGCTTTGGTGAAAAATAATTGAATTATTAACATACAGGGTGAAAAATAATTGAATTATTAACATACAGAGGTAATCTGATGAAACATGAGATTTTTTTAGAGAATGCTCGAACAACTCGTGCCGCTCGAGACGACTCTTTAGGGTTTCAGCAGAATGGCTAACTGATAATTTTGAAAGCAATGTTTTACGCCTTAAATCTTTATCTAACTTATCTTCCTTTTTTATTTCTTTATTCTACTGTACAATGGTTTGTTATCAATCGCAAACGGAACGGCTTTTTAATTTGACTGCAAACCCAGCAGACACTGCGGATATAAGAGAGTCATTAGGCGTCATTTAAGACAAGACATAATACGTTGTCTTAAACCGATAAGTCAGCCATTTTGTTGAAGCGCTTACTCTCTACACCACAAATAAATTAGAAAGTCTTGCCTGCGACAAGATCATCCGTGACCGATATGGATTCGCATTTGAAGATATGTCCGATGAAGCAGTCCGATTCCTTGCAAATAAATCCAAAGTGATCAGGATTTTTTACGCCTTGCACGCAGTTCACTACGTCCTTCAATGGTTTCTTCAGAACTGGCTGTTTTGTGCTCAAGCTAATCAATATCAGATCGCATCGTCCTACCTGGAATATAAAACTGAATTTTAGAAAAATCCGTGAGAAGCTGTGAATATGTATTTTCCGCTTTTTTTTATCTCTCTTTCTGTTGTATGATGTAATTTGATATAATTTAACGTCTTCCGTCTTAAATTCCACATCTTTTCATATTACGTCTTACGGTTACGTGCAATTTAACATCGATAATGATTGGGAAAAAAAACGAGACGGTAGTGAGGATAAAACGTTCTTCTATACCTGAAAGAGCATAGCGCGATTGTTATCGTTGGGCTTTGAGGCGGAATCCCTCCTGCCGGTAGTTAAAACACTGCCGGTAGACGCCGCGCGATTTCGCATGATTTCAGGTACATTGATGTTAGAATTAGAGGAAGACTCGGACGTCCGATTCTCACTGCGGCCGTCGTTTTCCACGGGGCTGGCGTTTGTTCTTGGAAAAGTTTCCGCGGAGCCGCTCAGAACTGGCGAAACTCCAAGCGGATTCACGCATGGAATTATACTGTTTCCTGACACGTTCTCGATACTGCCTGATTCGCTGGCGGTGGATTCCTGAAAAACGCAAAGATCAGGGCAACTCCCTTTGGCAAAAAGCCTGAGTTACTAATTCGTTTGTGTTAGTCACGTAATTAACGATACGTATAAATTAATAACCTTCGCAATAAGTTGTTCGTCGTCAAAGAATTGAAATTCTTGAAAAATTCTCTTACAGTTATGTCAAACGCGCTCTAATAACTTGGCGCACACGTTTGTGACGAAGTTGATCGGTAACTTGAAAAATATTCTCTCACCGTGCTGTTCCTTCTATTAATGGAAGACGTCAGAGCTTGGCGTTTCAACCGTTGACAGTCCGACAGGAGATTACCCGTCGATGATCTCGACTTCTCGAGTTCGTGAACGCGAAACCTTATCAGGGTATCATCGATGAATGATTCCGGTACTTTCGGGAGTGATAATTTAATTTTGCCAACGTAGAACACCTATAAACATAGTAAAAGCGTCAAGAAACGTCGAGAGCTTTTAAGTTAGAAACGATTAAAAGGGGAAAAACAGATCAAAGAAACGCTTGTTTCTTTCAGTTTAACTTGAAGTGGAACATCAAAGTTCTCTATCTACAGTTGGAGCATACGATACTTCAACCGTGGAATTTGATTTCTCCCTTTACGCGACTACTACCGTTGTCCCGAGCAGAAATATAAGAAAATAAATAGAAACAATCACCTCGAAGAATTGAGAAGAATTGGGAGATAAATCGACATGTATAGACGTTAAGCTGGCCGCACTGCTTTGCGAGCGTTGCGGCAAGTCCTTATCTCTCTCCATCCGCTGGGCTGCCGAATGTTCCCTCATACTTCCGGAAAACTGCAATGTATTCATGGTGAAAAAAAAGTTGCAATTATCAAGAATATCTACTACCAAGGTGGAAACTACTGCGAAGGGAAATACACGTTTAAAATAATTTGCTGACACAGAAAATGTTATGCTGTCGCAGCAAAATCTGCCAGTTATTATATGGACAGCAAAAAGTTTCGTTAAAAGTACTAATTCGTTGGATTATTTTGCTAGATCTACGAATTATTTTGCTGTAAGAACAAATTAATAAATGTAGAAAAAAACACTATTTTGTTCTAACAGCAAATTAACGTTCATTCAGCAGAATATTTTGTATCCTGGCGAAAAATGTGCTTCTGCTTTAATTAGAAATAATTCGTTAATCTATAGTTAGACTAATTAAATCTTATTATTGTCGCAACGAGTGTGCGGTAGCAACGATAGTTTCGCTACAAAATTATTTTTCCCCGTGTAAGAGAGAACCATATACAACATTACCATATATACATTCACAGAAAGAAACGGATATCATTTCTTTGCGCTTCCTCGAACCAGACATTGTCTAATTCGTTTTAGCAGGATATACAGTGCACGTTATTTTTCTTCAAATGACGGGCACTGCATCAAAGGTGACCGAGATATTGACTATCGTTCAGTTTTTCATCTCGACGATTCTCTCCTTCGATAGTTTTCTCCTCTCGTTACTTTGACTACGCGAGAACGACTTCGTGACCGAAAAAGTTCATCGCGTACCGGGGGACCTTTGTTGTTTATAACTTTTATTATCGAATTGCGACGCGTAGCGAAAAGTGCGAAGTCGCGTAGTCGCTGATTTTCCGCGCGACGTGTGGGAGTCCCGCGGGAAGAAAGTCCGATCTAGAAATAATACAAACCGCAACATTTCGCGTGCGGCTAGACCATTGATATATCAAACGGATTTCGCAAGGAAACGTGCACCAAACGTGGCCGATGGCCGTGGACCGAAATAACTCATTTGAGCGGAGCACTCGTGGACTGCTTGGCTCTCAGTCTCCGTCTCTCTTTGTTCTATCTCTCTACTTCTCCCTTCTTCCTCGTTTCTTCCCACGTCCCACATCTGCTGCTGCTCATCGTCCCCGCGAGTTTGTCATACTTCGCAAGAAGGATATTTTAATTTCATCCTTCCCTCCCTCTCTCTTTCTCTCTCTTTACTCAACTCATGAAATTTGTATAAACACTAACTTAAGAGTCATTCATTATTATTATTATATTAGGTTGGTGCGTATGAAATGTCGCATTCTCTTTACATGCGGACGTTTTCCTCCCTGTTTTCGTTATACTTTTGTATTTGGCATAACCTCATTCATACTCGTATTGTCCATTGCCAGAGACTCATTTCAACAAAATAGGTTTTCTCGAAGGTCTTCCCTTTTTTATTTCTTTTGAGTTTATTACCGATATGAATTCTGCCGACATTCGCGTCATTTTCTTATATGAGTACAAACTTGGTAATAGTGCTGCAAAAGCTGCACGCAACATAAACCAAGCGTTTGGGGAGAATACGGTTAACAATCGGAAAGTGCAGCGTTGGTTCGAAAAATTTCGGACTGGCGATTTTTCACTGCAAAATGAGCCGCGCGGAAGACCCAAAACGTCTGTGAATAATGATGACCTGAAGGCTCTAGTGGAAGCGGATCCAGCCGTATCCACGAGGGAACTTGCTATCAGGATGAAAGTTGACCATACAACGATATTGAGACACCAAATTGTACTCCCATCGCTTGTGAATCGGCATGGCCCGCTACTGCTCCATGACAACGCTCGGCCGCACACATCGCACAAAACAATTGCGAAACTGAACGAACTGGAATATGAAGTTTTGCAGCATCCACCATATTCACCGGATCTCTCGCCGACCGATTTTCATTTTTTCAAGCATTTAGAGCTGTTTTTAAGAGGCAAACACCATGAAAATGAAGACAGTCTAAAAAACTCGATATCAGAGTTTATTAATTCTAAAGACCAAAATTTTTTTAAGACAGGCATCTACGCTTTAAAATCTCGTTGGGAGAAGTGTATTGAAGCGAATGGAGCATACTTTGATTGAATAAACAGCTTTTGAAGAAAGATATACAGTTTTATACAATCACTTAAGAATCCGACATTTCATATGCACCAACCTAATATGATCACTGAAATTAACTTTCTATTCTTCTCATAACATTCAACAATTATCTTGAATCAATATTACTATTATTTATTGTAAAATTTCTCTATCAACCCGTTTACTCAGCGATATAATTTATAACTTTGCGTCCTTAGAAGACTAACCTATAGTTATATAGTAGGAAAAACGAGAAAAATCAGTTTTTCCAAACCTTAAAAATTATAACCAGTCCTAGGATAATAATAAACGCTTTTCTCCTCCACTCTCAAGCATGCATAATAACGAAACATCGCAAAAGTTCAAGCGGAGTGAAAAGTTAAAACGAATCACCACGGAAATTTTACACGAATGGTAGGAAAGAAACAGAAGGAATTTAACTCGAGATTCATCTCTTCGGGAAAAACTAAATTGCAAATAACGAGCAACATTGCGAAGAAAAGAAAATAAAGGAGAAAACTAAGGAGCTTCCGAGCGACTCCCGCGCGTGCCGAAGTCAAATCTTTATCTTTCCTTCGTTCAACGATAACTTCCATATGTTCCCGTCACTTCTCATCCGTATGAAATTTCGACAGAGAGTACGCTTTCAATTAGAATTATTCTCACTGTACCAGCCGCGCAAGAATCGAGAGCGCCGGGTCGCTCGTATATTTTTTCTCTCTCGCATTCGACATCGCCGCCTCGTGCGATTTGCATTCGTCATTGCGACAAACATGGGATCGAGCGCGACATAATTTTCCTAATGAGCTCTCTTCTACAGAGTCAATAAGCAGGTAATAATGAAAAATTGTAGACGGGACAACGCATTATATATACCTGTAACAATGGCGAAAACATCTGGTTCTTCTGCAATGCTAATCATAAATCTCATAGAGAGCCACCGATCACCGAGAGGCCACGGGATGTCCGTGACATCGCGGAGCGATTTGCGAGAGTCGTCCCGCGACGGCGGCCATGAATATTCCCGACTACGTCGGGAAAGCTCGCCAGTTTGGTGATGCACGGTATGCAGCGCCGTTAATAGAGGGGCTTCTCTCGTATCCAATTAAGGCGCGTGCTTTACTTTATTACGTCCCCTCCTGTGCTTCCGCAAACTTGTACACACCATTATCGACACCCGATAGGAGAGAGAGACGCCACGCATACCCGGCCTCTCGTTGAACTCATTTGTCAAGCCCTTGTTACTCGTTGTGTACGGCATCGAGAATTTTTCGATTAAAACGACGCGAGCGATACGGAGCAATCAGGTCATCGGAAGGATCGCGACCTCGTCGGTCGATTTGTACGATAATTTAACAAACGTGTCATTATGTCGCTGCAAATGCACGTATTCAATGGGTGTGTTTATACGCTCTGACATTTGATTGATTTCTCCGATCAAAGTAAAACTCGATCGTGCGACTTTAGAATGTAGCTTACGGGCGTTTCATTAACGCGTTCAATCAAATATTAATATTTCCACGTCGCAATCAACACACTAGAATGACGTTTTACGACGTGTTTCGCGTATACACAGAAAAATACACACGAGTAAATTGTTGTTTCAAATATTTCGTGAGCTTATATATTTGTAAATATATTCAAAACTGTTTAAAAATATCCTGAATCCTAAGTAAGTTTACTACTTTCATCAAGAATATTATATTAAAATAAAAATCGGATTGTTTATTTTAATTAACCAAATCTAACTTCCTTTCGGTAAAGTTTTATAATATTCTTGAGGATACATTCTCCTTTGAAGTACGTGATAATGAGCTTTTCCAAAATTCGTAACGAGCATATTTTAAAACTGTTACTGAGAAAATATTTCTTCTTGAAGATAATCGTCACCTAAGGAAGAACGGTAATAATAATCGAATAATCGCTCTTCTAAGCAGTGGAATAATTTTTCTGCGTGTAGATTTCTTCGAGAGCTTCGGCTCTCAGACAGACGGACAAACGAAGGCGTTTGGGTTTTCCTCTCACGTAAAAATCGCGGCTACACCTTTTCCTCGATAAGACACTGATTCTCCGCCAGCTGAAAATAGATGTTCGGCGATGCTATTTTCTTCCAGGCACTTGGCACTTTGCGTGCGTAGAAGCCCATACGCGCTCGACTTTGTCTCTGATCCTAATTGATCGAATTAAATTCGTGACACACGTCATCGACGAGGATGCACGAATCGATGTCGTGCGCGCGCGTGGCGATTGAATTCACGTGTGACAAACTTAACGCGTGCGTGAAGCCGAGTTTCGTTTCAATTGAGACGATTGCGAAGATACACGGTCGTTTACGAATGTATTTCTGCCCAAGGACATGTGCGCGGCGTGAATTGTGTGCGTAAGCGCCTTAGGAAATTTATATTGTCCCGATCGTGCGTATACGACTTTACTCTCGTTCAATCGAATTCGTCATGCGTGCGAGTCGAGGAAAAGTGAGCGCTGAAGAAGTATTACTTCGACTATACTTAACTGTATTTAACGACTGTGTATTTCGCACGAATAATAACACGATCTAATTCCGTCGAGATTCTAGGCGAGCGAGTTACTCGTTTACCGATTCACTCATCCTGCAAGAACTCAAGCGATAAGCAAGGTCTTAATCTTTTAATAACAGCTGAAACTCGTTAAGCACATTAATATTAATGACCCTCTTCCATACTAGTTGGGAAATATTTTTCCAGATTAATATCCCTCACACAGCGTCGTCGTCTAGGGGGCTTAGTCTTTTAGTCGCATGTATATTCAACGAATGCACGTGAGAACGACCAACGAGGTGTGTCTCAGGGTCGTGCGTGAAACGCGACAAAAAGCCGCGTCGTTAAATTGCCGATCATTCGGATGGCATTTCGAGACGGTAATATCGAACGGAGTAATTTAGAATGTCACGGATTTTGTTCCTCCGTTT